CGCCCCCCCCGCCACTTCCTGCCCCTCTGCGGTGCCCGCGCTTCCCAAAGCCGCTGGGCCTAAGGCTGGGTGCTCCGGGCTACCTAGCTGCGCAGGGGTGTCCCGCAGGTTTACTTCGCCGACTGGGAGCCCCAAGATGCGGGAGGCGCGCTCCTCCAGTGAGGAGTCCCCTGGCTTTGCGCCCTCAGCTTCATAGCCGCGCCCCAGGCCAGGTTGGGGTAAAAGGCGACTGTTCACCAGCAGCTTTTGGTAAGGGGAAGGGAAGACCACAGCCTCCTCGCCCTCCTTCTGGGGCTTCGGAGGGCTGGGGGCGTCCCCCACAGTGCGTGGCACCCCAGAGGGCAAAAGGTGCACCTGCTGGGTTTGGGGGGTCGGAACGTACTGAGACCTTATTACCACGCGAGTGGCGTCAATGACAAAGACGCCTTCTCCTCGAGCCGGACCTCGGGAACTACGGGGCAGGGTATGGGCGCGGCGGGTAGCCTTCCAACCCTCCGGGGTCTCGGGTCCCGCCCTATCTCTATGACCCAGGGACTCTGTCCATCCCGTGCCTCCTGGAGCCCAGGGTCTGGGGAGTGTCTGGCTGTGCTGGGGCGGCTGCTTTTTAGGGGAGGGAATCCAGCATTTGGGGATCCAGATCGGTTCTCTTCCTTCTTTCCCTTCCCTAGAGCTCTTGAGGTGGTGCCTGGACCTGGGAGCAGGACGCGGGGAGCTAGGAGTCGCAGTTGCTGACCCCGAGGGAGCTGTCTCCCTGCTGGGGTTCGCTGTAGCTTTGGCTTGGGAATAGCCATCGCTACCATTGTTCAGGCTAGCAGTGGCCAGCCTCCGGCTTTTCTCTGCAGCCCCCTTGCAGGACTCGGGCCTTGCTCTGGTCGCTCCACACCCTGAAGATCCCCCCAAGAGACCACGCCCCTGTCGGAGACCCCAAGCCCCGAGGACGTCCCGGTAGATCCGAGGATCCAGCCTCTTCTTTGAGCGCCCTCCCTCTGTCCTGGCCGGGGTCACAGCTGGGGCTGAAGAGGTGGGCGGCTGGGAGGGCGCGGGGCCTCGCTTAGTCCCCAAGGTCCGGTGGGGGCCTTCGTAAGAAGGTGGAGCCACGTAGGGTGGCGGCCGGGCCCAGCGCCGTCGCGGGGCGCACTGGGCGGCGCGAGGGGCGTTCCGGGGCTCTGGGCGGGGCCGACCCGGGGGGCTCCGTCGGGCCCCACCAGCCTTGCGCCTTTTTCGCTCGGTCTCCTTGGCCTCCCGCTCCTGCGACGCCGCCTTCCTTTTCTCCTGCTCCCGGGCTCTGAGCTCGGCCGGGGGCCCCGCCCGCCAGTTGGTCGCCTCCTGCAGCACCCTGGAGGCCCAGGGCCGGCGGGGAGGCGGCTCCGGGGCTCCCGGACGCGGCCCACACCTGGGACAATGAGCAGGAACCCAGGTGAGCAGTTTGTGGGGGAAGGGAGCCGAGGTCCCGGGAGTTGGGACTATTGCAGACCACTTGGGGCAGCGGTGTGAAGAGGTGTGTGTGAGTGTGTGAGCGGGTGCACGTGCGAATACGTTAGGGCTGAAGTCGAGGCGGGCCTCCTCGCCCTCTCTCCATGCACACTTTAACAGTGTCTGCCCCATCTCACCTCCTGCCCTTTCTCACGCCCACTCCTGCCCCCCCACCCCCCCAGACAGCGCGCTGGAGTCGGGCCTCAGCCCTCGGGATGGGGTGGGGGAGGGAGGCGTGGGAAAGAGAAGGGGACCAGCAGTGCTCGCCGGTGCCTGCGGGGAGTTCCGGACCCCAGGCCCTGCCCCACCACTCTCTTCCCCTCACCCCTCCTTCACTCACGTGCGGCTCTGGAGCCCGCGGGCCCAGTGGCTGGCCTGGAAGTCCATGGGCTGTCGAGAAGGGGCACGGCGACTATAATGACAGGAAATAGTCTTCACTTCGATCACCAACAGCTTGGACTTCTGCACCCAAAGGCAGCTGCCAGACTCTTCATCCTGGGGCTCCTGGGGGCTATTAGGCCCCTTGGAGAATAGCGGGCCATCCAACATCCTGCCCCACC